GGGGATAAGGCAGAAACTTCTAGGCTCCTACATAGAGGCACAAAAAATATTGGTATCTCAAAGTTTAAAATTACCACTAACAGGCAACAAAGAATTCAACTGCAAAGAGATATTGTTCACAAAACAGAGAGGTACCACCTCTCCTACACATTCCTGACCCTCTTGTGCTGGACGCTGGACCCCCTTCCAGGGATAAAGAACCCAGTATCACCCAAGGCCCCAATACTGGATGGGGCTCACGGTCAATGGAAATTGGTTTTCTAACGGATCTCAGCCCATTCTCCCAGGCTATGACACTAGGTGCCTCTGATAGTCAAAAATATGGAAGAAACAACACTGGGATATCAAAAGTAGTCAAAATTGATAAAATTTCTACAGATAAACAAGTGTATGTACATAGATTTATATGTGTGTGTGTGTATAATGTTTATCTACTTCTTGAAGAATGCTGTTAGATTTTGTCTTAAAAGCTAATTCAACTCCAAGACAGCTAAAAAAAAAAAAAAAAAAAAAAGCAAGGTCTTTGCCATCCTCTGGTTAGTTTTACATGTGTTCATTCAACTTTTTGTCTCCTAGCACATTCTCTACAGCAGTTCCTCCAACCTTTATCTTCCTTCTCAAATCCTCAATCTCACTGCCTACTTTTCAGAGAAGCCGCAGGCCATCTGATGTAAGCTGCCTCAATTCCAAGCCTCCCTGTGTCAACATTAGCTCATTTGTCTTTAGCCCCCATTCTGGGGAAAGATCAACCTCTTTTCCAAGGGGATTCTTTCCAATCAGTCCCCATCCTAATTCTTTCTGCACATATAATCTGCTCCTCATAATCTTATGCAGTAGATAATACTATAAATCTCTCAGTCATTGTTTCCTTATCTCTAAAATGGGGATAAATGACTTGGCCAACAGTATTTGGCATTAGGTGATAAAACCAGCATTGAAGTCTGGTTTTTCTATTTCCAAAGCCTCTCTAATCTTTTCCTTCTCCTTCTTCTTTAAGTAGTAGGCTCCATGTTGGTGTGGAGCTCAATGTGGGGCTTGAACTCACGACTCTGAGATCTAGACCTGAGCTGAAATCAAGAAGTGGACACTTAACCAACTGAACACCCCAGGAGGCGTAAGCCTCTCTAATTTTCTAATCATCTCCTTGCTCTCATGTCACAATGAACTGCTCCAGTGGTTAAGGCTTCTACTCCCTCACAGCCTTCCCTCACAATCCACCTCCAAAACCCCTACAACCTAAGTATTATCTCTCTACATATATGATCTTACAAAATTTAGTATAGTATGATGTAGGAAAAAAAGCACAACTTTGAAAGTCAGATGGATGTATGAATTCCAGCTTCATCAAGTTCTAGTCTGTGACTTTAGGATGGATAACCTCTCCTTGAATCTCAGTTTCCTTATGTGTAGTGATAATAACACTAACCAGTTTATCTTTATAATTAAGTTTTATCTCTTCAATATAAGGCAATAAAGTTAGGGGCTAAGAGAATGGGATTTCTGAGCCAGACTGACTGGGTCTGAATCCTGGCTCAATACTTACAAATTATGGGACTTCAGGAAGGTCATTTAACTTCTCTCTGCCCCAATTTCCTTGTCTACAAAATGGGAAAAATAATAGTATCCATCTTACAGTGTTAAGAGGTTTAAATAAATATATTAGAATGGTCAATAAACATTACCTATTAAGGCACAAGATTGTAAGTGCATTGTGGTTTGGGATGATGACTCATATCTGTATTTCCCATCATATCTCATACGTCAAAGACACTTAATATTTACTGATGAATCATGTCAGTTAAGTGTAGGACTCTAGTTTCTCTAAGTTTCAGGCAAAATATTTCTTCCCAGTCCCTCGCTTTCTATACCATCTGTAAGCATACTACAGTGAGTGATAACTTTTCAGACTTAACTACCCTGACAATTTTTACTCGCTTTTAAGCTTCTTAAGCAAGCTAGCCCAAAGAACAGAACACATCGGTGCTTTCACATTGTGTTTGTAACTGGAGTAATTAGGCTATATTACAATCTAGAAACTGACCACAATTTAATCTTTTCTTTTTTTACTCTTGATTCTCAAAAAGATAAAGGAGAGGCTTATTTTAAATAGCATTTTTCCAGAAGTTAGGTAGCTAAACCAACATCACAGACATAAAATCATCAGTGAACTGAATCTTGGAGGGCTGGATATTCCCAGAATATGGAGCTTTTTCATCCAGAAGTCAAGTTGAAAAATAAAGGTCTTATAATATATTAGTATAACAGCTATGATGGTATAAGACTCAAATAAAAGGTAAATGGCAGACAGTAATTAGTATTAGAAAATATCGATTTCCATGGCACTTAAAATACTTTGATCCAATCCCATCTATTCACAAACTAGACTTGGGAATTGGTCAGGAGGCTGTTTATTCATAGCCCCCATTGCCATATTGAGAAAATGAAACAGGCTAAAGAATGCCAAGTCGTGGCAAATCAAGCCCAGATCTGACTCCCAGATAACCCATCCCCTTTATATTCCACAAGAAATACCCTTGTTTTTCCTTCACAAAACACTAACACTAAGGTACTCCATTACCTTTTACTGACTCAAAAACATCAGGAAATGCAGTAAATAATCCCACTTTTCTATTTTACTCAAGAATTAGAGGAAGTTAATGATATCAACTACTGAGGAGCAAATATTTTCAGGGCACTTCTAAGTCCTTATTTGATATTAAAAATAAATACTGTATTTGCCTCTTATCAGACTAAGCAATTAAAAGAACTGTTTTGAGCCTAACCTGAGAAAATGCGGTTATGAAAGCAATAATAATAGTATTACAGCTATTGTTTATTGAACACTTACTTAGGGGTCAGGTACTAAGCTAAAAACGTTTCTTCCTCACAAAATCCTTCTATCATTTTCCCCAATTTATAGATGACAGTGTAAAAGGGTAAGAGACTTGCCTAAGATCACACAGAACTACTGGCACAATGGGACAGGAATCCAGGTCGGACTCTAAAGCAGGGGTTGGCAAACCACAGCGATGGTTTGTTTCTGTATAGCTCAAGAGCTAAGAACAGTTTTTAAGTGTTTTAGGTTTGTAAAAAGAAAAAACAAAAAGAAGAAAATGCAAGAGAGAATATAGAGACCTATTGTGATCCACAAAGCCAAGAGTATTTACTCTCTGGCCCTTTACAGAAAAAATTTGCAGACCTCTGGCCTAAAGCCCTGCACCTTTAACCAATACATCATACTCTCTCCATATGAAGGAAAGAGGCTTCTGTGATGGGCTCCTTATTTTAACACCATAATACTCATTTGACATTTAATTGAATTTAAGACACCACTGTTTTCTTTATATGACCTGTCTACCCAGGAAAGCTAAGTTCCTTGAAAGTGGGGATCTTTCTTTTGTATTTTCTGTGCTTAATAGATAGTTGGCTGACTAGCAAATGTTTGAAGATAGTAAATATAAATCATACATTGTTCTACAGAGAAATAATATAGAGGTGTAGCTTAAAGGGTGCTGCAAGTAAAATGCCAAAAATATGAAATATGAAAACCACCTAACATGTTTAAAAACTAAGAATCCTAAGAAACAGATATTTGTACACAGGCTTAGAATCGTATTACCTTACAGATGAAACATAACCTTGAGTTCATGCATTTTCCTGATGCACACAACTACCTTGTTTTGCCACCCTTGAGATGAACATATGCATATTCCAGAAGTCTGTATTTACTGGAATGGGCTGGGGAGGGAGGTCCTGGAGAAATATCTTTTTTGTGTGTGCCAAAACTGCTTCTACCTATTTGCAAGTCTGAGAAGTAAAGCTCAACAAGCTCATCAGTTTTAAGCCCATTCCATATGAAGATAATCTTCATTCAGAGACTGCACGGAAAGGATTGTTTGTGCACCATCTCTTCAGCCATCTATACCCTCACAGTCACGTTAAGACAGCAATACGCATCTTTACCTCTCATGAGGCCTCCCAGCAGGCCAAAATGCCTGTGAGTCCATGGTTTCATTTGCCCTTCTCGCTTTATGACCAAAATATAAAAATACATAAGAAACCTCAAAAAGAAAGCACTCTAAAATGCAAGAAATGAAGCCATTTACTCAACGATCACATCAATAACGTTATGCCACCAGCAAGTCACCCATACTGCATATGCGTGGTGTTCCTAATCACTATTTGGTTGAACTGTCCTGATCATCGTACAACACACTGCTGGGAGATCTTTTAACTCTTTCCTGTCCTCACCTCGGTACGCCTGGATTAGGAGGGTAGACCGTACGTATCCTAATCAGATATGCTGAGCATAGTACAATAAATCAGGACGTCATTAAAAACACCCTAAGCCTTTCTTGTAGCTTTTTTTTTTTTTTTTTTTGCATTCGAGTTTCACTTGGGCTACATGGCAGTATGGTTTTCATTCTCAACCTCAAAAGGACAGGGCGTAGCAAGAGCTGGGTGATGGGAAAAGGTGGACTCTGCCTCCTAAAGAACACCAGATCCTGAGCAGTAGCGATATTACTGCAGCTTCAATGGACCTTAAACAAACTGACACCCCAGAGAAATAGATCGCTGTGTTGTCTTCCCTTCCCCCAGTCCCCAGCCCAATTCGAGACACCGCACCCACTCCCTTCCCATCCTCAGTCCCGGGTCTTGAGCTTGGTAGGCAGAGGCGGGGGTGGGGGGAGATGCGTGGAAGAAAAAGGGGGTGGGGTCGGAGGAAAAAAAGGTGTGGACAAGCAAAGGAAAGGGTGTGCGAAAGCAAAGAAAACGGGGGGCGAGGCTGAGGAGGAAATGGGGTGAGGCAGAGAAAGGGGGACATAGCAGAAAAAAAGGGGACAAGGCAGAAAACGGGGGTGGGGGTGGGCGAGGCAAAAATGAAAGGAATCAGAAGGGGAGTCGAACACAGGCCGAGCCGGACCAAGAGAGGAGGCGAAGCAGCCGGCGGGCAAAGGAAGGGGGAGCGCCAGAGGGCGGACATGGGTTGAGGCACTTGCCATAAATCATAGCCAGGCCGGTTTCGTGCAGGAAGCGGGCCCGGCGGTGCTTGAAGAGCCAGATGGTGAGAATGGTGAGGGTGAGGAGCAGGATGAAGATGAGCAGGTTGGCGCTGTCCTGCCGGTGGCTCTCCTCCGCTTGCTTCTCGGACACTATCTCCTCGTCCATGGCTCTCGCCGTGCCGCTGGCGCCGTCCGAAGCCCCGGCCCAGCCAAAGACGCCCACTGCGAGGAGCAACCAGAGCGGCCGCATGAGCCCGCGGGCCCCGGAGCCGCCGCCACCGCCACCGCCGCCGCGGCTGAGGGGCGCCCGCTGCCAGCCGCGCCGAGCCATGACTCCCCCCGCCCCCCGCCCCGCTTCTCACCCGCAGCCGCCCGCGGTCGGACCACTCCCCGAGGGCTCACGGGAAAGGGGCGGGGCCCCAGGGTAGCCGCCGGAGCGCGCGCCGCCGCCGCCGCCTCCACCGCGCTGCTCTTAAAGGGGACGCGTCACACACATTTCCCCCATCCCCCCCCCAACCCGGCTAGCTCAGCCCCATTCCTTTGCCCTTCCGGCCTCCACCGCACCAGCTCCCCCTTAGCCCCGGACACGGACGCTCAGGTGCTGCCAGGGAACGAAAGGCTGTCGAATCTAGCCCATGGCCTTCTGGAAAAGAGACCTCAGCTCGGGGTAATCAAGAAGAGGTGGATCAAGCTAGGTCTACTTTGGTCCTATTCTTAGAGATCTCAGGGGAATCAAGCGTTCATAAACCATCTCAATATTGTCCCCCAGTGTCTCTTAACTGGATAAGAAGTTGTCCCCTTGGGAGATGCCTAAAACTCCATCTCTGTCATTTAAATCGGATTCGGGCAGCCCCGGTGGCTCAGCGGTTTAGCGCCGCCTTTGGCCTGGGGCGTGATCCTGGAGTCCCAGGATGAGTCCCACGTCGGGATCCCTGCCTGGAGCCTGCTTCTCCCTTTGCCTGTGTCTCTGCCTCTGTGTGTGTGTGTCTGCCATGAATAAATAAATAAATTCTTAAAAAATAAATAAATCGGATTCTCCTTGTTCTGTTCTCACTGGGGAAAAAAAAAAACACCACTGTAGTAGTTCATAAAAGAACTGACTCAAAGGCAAGGAATATGCATGTGTCTGTATGCTCAGGTGCGAATCCTCTCTCACATCAGAAACCTGTACAGAGACACTCGTCCATCTCGCAGAGAAGATTCAATCCGTGTGCTCAAATTTACCCGAGCTCCAAACACTCTTCTCCCTTCCCAAAGAGGAAATCTTTTGAGGTGTGGTGCTTTTCTACCCCCCTCTTGCTCCCTTTTCCTGCTGTTTTAACGCAGATTTCCTTGGCTGGGAAGTCACCTTTGACACCCTTTCTCATCTCTCTTCCTCCAAGAGCATTTTCTCTACTCTCAGCCTCTCTACATGGCACACACCAGAAGATCCACAGTTCTTGCCTCTTCAAGAACAGTGGCTTCCTGTTGTCTCCATACTTAACAAAATCACATCGTAGTCTGTGTGGGCTTTTTGCTTTCTCTGGACTTTCATTTATACCTCTACATGGATGCACTACAAATCCCAAGCCCTGACCTGTCACTCTCCCTTCGGTCCTCTACCCACTAGTGGGATACTAAGCACATCTTGCTGTGGGACCTACAAAGCTCAACAACTACAAGTGCTTTAAAATGAGCTCATTTCCCCCCTTACAAACATGAATTCTTTCTCAAATTTTGCATATCACCAGTGGTGCTATCAGTCCAATTCCTATCATTCTGCCTGGAAGTCCTGATTCTCAAACGTTTTCATCTTGTGGCCATATAACCCCCTTGCTAAGACAAATAACATCCAGGCAACTCCAAGCTACTCCATTCTGGATTCACTCCCACTAACCAGCTCTTTAAGTTCTGTGAGGATAGTGAGCTTTTTTTTTTTAAGACCCAGAACCGGTGTTCAACTCCAAATTCTGTCCCTGTCGCATCGGGAACTATCCCAGGGACTGTGAGCCCATTTTCTTTGGATAGTATCTGGGTCTGTCTGTACCTTCCCAAGAAATGTCAAGGCTGCCTGTCCCCTAGACTCTGGCTCCAGCCTAACTACACTGCCCTGTTCATACAGGGCTGGCGTATAAGGAACCCAGGTAAGGATCGTTCCCAGTCTCCCCGCTGGCCCCTCCCCAGACCTATCTTGGTTACCCCAGAAGACCTAGCAAATTAATTTACCTGTTTCTTTAGGCCTAACCACCTAATCTGAGGCTGTTTTGCCTCAGCACAAAATCATTTCTCAGTCTCTTAGTGTTAGGAACTTGAAAAAAAAAAAAACCCAACAACCCCAAAGTCAGAAATTGCTTGCTTGACCACAATAAGCAAACGTCTTCAAGTGCCAGACTCTACCTATTTACAGGCCCCAGCAACTTAGTGTGCTCCCTCACCCAGTCACACCTTTATATCACAGTTCCAGGAGGAATCTTGAGAGGGCAGTAACTCTATCAAGTGAGCCAATCCCCATGAGTTTTGGCTCCACTGAGAATGTACCCCTCTCTCAACCCTACCCAGTTGCTGCACTGATGTTCCTTCTGCCTCTTCCTTTAACTGGTACTTGAGTCTCACTCAGAACATCATGTGCTCTGAAGCTGTTTCAGCCAGTGCAATTTATTTCCTCACCACCCCACTGTCCTATACATGCACACATATATACTGGCAACTCATGCCCTGTATCATGTGTCCTGAAGGGATTGCCACTCAGCTCACTTCATTGTTATTCCAAGCTCATCACTCCTCCAGCCTTCATTTTAAGCTCTAACACTCTCCATTCCTTGTCACCTAACGACTTCCTGGAGGAAGGATGTGGGCACCCAGGTTATAGCTCCCCCACCCACCATCACAGCCCCAGCCCTGCCTTCATCCTGGCTGATTCGATGCCCATACTGAGAAGTCACCTGAAATTTGAGCCTTGTCTCCTCTTTCACAGTGAAAATGAAGATCCTCTAGAAAACAGTCCTTACCCTGTCATCTCTTTAAGTGTCCTGTTAGTGTCCATCCTTTCTTCCTCCCCTCCAGTCTAAGTGAAAGAGGTGTTTCCTCCTCCCTTATGAAACATACACTGTACTCTACATTCCATCACCTCCTTCCTGCCTCTTCCAGGATCGACTCCAATCATCATCTCCTTCCACCATCTTCTAATGGCTCCTTTATCCACTAGCTTTCTTTTTATCAAAGGCTAGTTGACACACAGTGTTACATTACCAGTTTTAGGTGTACCACATAGTGATTCCACAAATCTCTACATTATGCGGTGCTCATTGCAAGTGTAGCTGCCCTCTGTCACGATGCAACGCTATTACAATACCACTGATTATATTCCCTATGCTGTACCTTTCATCTCCATGACCTATTTATTACAAAACTGGCCCACTATCTCTTCCTGTTCCCCAAAACCACTTCCAGGTCTCTTCTGAGAAAACAGGCCTTTGTCTACACCTTCCTCCACTACCACATTAGTTTTCTCTCCCCCTCAGAGATGAGCTTCTCAAAAGGGTTGGCTACACTCCCATCTGCTAGTCTAGAGATTCGCAATGTACACCCAATGGAATCCAGTCTGCCACCTGTTTTGGTAGGCATGCTTTATACATTTTTTTAATGGCTGAAAAAAATTAGAAGATTTTGTGACACATGAAAATGATGTGAAACTCACATTTCTGCCTCCATTAGTAAAGGTTTATTGGACACGGATGTGCCCATTTGTTTACCTATGGTCTGTGGCGACTTTTGCACTATAAGGCAGAGTTGAGTAGTTGCCAAAGAGACTGTAGAGTCTGCAAATAGCCTAAACTATTTACTGTCTGGTCCTTTACAGGAATGGTTTGCTGACTTCTACCTTGGTCTCCACCAATCATCCTTCCATACTTGTACTAGAGGGATCTATCTGAAGCACAAATCTGATTATAGACAGCGCAGCCCTGCTCCAAACCATCCAGTGACCACATTGTCTTCAGTTCTGGCTCCTTAGCCTGGCACATGATGCTCCACAAGCCCCAACTCCCGATTGCTTCTTCATCTCCTAGGTGACCCTTCTCCCTTAAATGTATTTTGCTTAATCCGTTCTGAACTCTGTAGTTTCCTGAAGGCTTCATGTCATTTCCTATCTGCACGTGCCCTTCCGTGTGCTCCCTCTGCTTGAATGTGCTTCAACCCTTTCCTCACTTAACCTCTGCTCCTCTGACAAAACTCAGTATAAAGGTCACTCCGTTTTCCAGGAGGCCCTCAGGCTGACTTTGGGGCCCCATGTATGCACTCCCACAACCCCCCCCCCCCCCCGGGCAACTCTCTCTCTTAGCCTTCCTGAAGTATTATCAGGCTTGATTTGCAGGCTTGTTATTCCACAAGTCATTGGTATCCTGAGGGCAGGAACCAGGAATTTGTTATTTCTTTATTGACAGCATCTAGCATAAGGTCTAACCAAAATAGGTATTCCCTAAAACATACCTGAGCATCAGTGAATGTCTCTCAAATTTCACTGAGGACCATGGAAATCTCCATGTTTGCAGATGACACTAAATTCTCTTAGGGACATTGATCCAGTTCAAGGATTAAACTGAAAGAGGACTTTATAGTCCTGGGTATACAGTCAGTGCTCAATAAATATGTGATCACTGTAAAGTGTAGATAAGTTTAGCTCAGTGGTTAGCACAGTCCTTGGCTCACTGGATGTGCCCGATAAACATGGAATTAATTAAAATTGATTAATTCCTGTATTGAGAGAAAGGTCTGAAAACGAAGCTGAGGCCAAACGTTGGGAGGCCTTTATGTGGCAGACATTTTTAACTCATTAATTTCCCTGGTCAAAATTTCCCCAATGTTAATTTGGCAGCAGAAAAGGGAATGAAGGACACCTGGATGTCTCAGTGGTTGAACTTCTGCCTTTGGCTCAGGGCATGATCCTGGGGTCCTGGGATAGAGTCCTGCATTAGGCTCCCCACACAAGGAGTCTGCGTCTCCCTCTGCCTGTGTCTCTGCCTCTCTCTGTGTCTCTCATGAATAAATAAAATCTTTTAAGAAAAAGGGGGGATGAATGAAATGCAGAGAGATGGACAGGAGGGGAGGCCAGTTAAGAGGTCAGAAAATGAAAAAAAAGGATGGTTTAGAAAAGTGGTCTTGCTAAAAAGACAGGAGACCTTAACTTACCAGATGCAGTAGGAATGGAAGAGTGACAAGGGAGGATAGGTGCAGGAGCTGATGCAGAGGTAGGATTGACCCATCATGGCAACTGATTGGGTGAGTAGATGGGGAATGCTTGAGGAAGACCAATCGGAAGACTGTTCCATGGGATACCTGGGTGGCTCAGTGGTTGAGGGTCTGCCTCTGGCTCAGGATGTGGTGCTGGAGTTCCAAGCCCGGCACTGGGCTCCTGCATGGAGCCTGCTTCTCCTCCCTCTGTCTGTGTCTCTGCCTCTTTCTGTGTCTCTCATAAATAAACAAACAAACAAACAAACTTTTTTTTTTTTAAAGGAAGACTGCTCCAAAGTTTTGAAGCTGCAGAACTGGAAAACGTGGGGCTACTAAGAGCATTAAAATGGTAACCAGGAGGTACAGCTCGACTCTGGGCAGACTGGATTTAAGGGAGTGGTGGGATATTCAAGTGGAGGGTCTGTAATTCATGAGTGAAGTCAGGACCAGTGAAAGATGTGTGAGCTGTGTGCACGAGATCGAAGATATGGGAGTTCATGGGTTCTCCAAAGAATAGAGGGTAGAAAGAGACTCAGTTTTAGGGCAGTGGTATAGAGAATGTCTATATTCAAGAAGTGGGAGGGAGCACCTGGGTGGCTCAGTTGGTTATGCGTTGGACTCTTGATCTCAGCTCAGGTCTTGATCTCAGGATCATGGGTTTAGGCCCTGCCTTGGACTTCATGCTGGGTGTGGAGCCTACTCTAAAAAAAATAAGAAGTGGGAGAAAGAATGGGTCACAAATATTAGTTGAGAGGAGTGCCTGGGTGGCTCAGTCAGTTAAATGTCCCACACTTGATTTTGGCTCAGGTTATGATCTTAGGATCATGAGACTGAGCCCTATGTTGGGCTCCTCACTCAACCCAGAGTCTGCTTGGGATTCTCTCTTCTTCTCCCTCTGCCCCCTCCCTGTGTGTGTGCTTGTGCACTCTCACTCTCTCTACAAAGACAAACAACAACAAAACCCCCAAATATCAGTTAGGACCCAGTATAGCCCTCGAGTTTTACATTTATTTCCTGAATATACCAGCTCAGTGTGCTAAAAAAGCAAATAACACTTTTGGTGTCATTTGCAGTGTCAAGGCTACTTGAAGTAAATAATATTAACCCCAGACAAGTAACCCAGTATGCTTTGTGCAGATATGGTAATGAAACCCCAAAAGAGATATTAGTAAATCTAGAAATGGTCCAGAGAAGAGCAATTAAAATAACCAAAGAGGAGAAGCAATTGATTTTTATGAGATTAAAGGGATAAAGAACCCCTTTAATCTGGAAAAATAGCTAGAAGAATCTACAGTAGCAGCAGTAGTAATAATAGTGGCTAACATTTACTGAATAGTCACCATGTGAGATTATTCCACACCCAACGTGGGGCTCGAACTCACAACCCAGAGATCGAGTCGCACACTCTGCTGACTGACTAAACCAGCCAGGTGCCTCTTGTGTGGGATTATTCTAAACAACAAATATGTATCATTTCATTCAATCCTAACAACAATCTTACCAAGTAAGTACTATTATTATCCCCATTTTACAGATGAGGAAATTGAGGCACAGTGAAGTTAAGTAACTTGCCCAGTCTTCCAGAGAGTAAGGGAGAAGCCAGGATTCAAACCTGATCTGATTCTGGAGCATATGCTTTTATCCACAGTAGTATAAGTCTTTCAGTAAACAAGTCTTAAGATATGAATCAAGTGACCACAGTCTTGTTTACTGAGATTCAAAACTTGAGATGCCAGGCACAACTTGAGATGCATTTAAGAGGTATACATTGTTCCACTGTTTGAACTTACACTGAACATACACCATTTTTGTAAAGAAATAAAAAAGAAGTGATGCAACTTCGATATAAATGTTGAAAATACCCATTTACCCAGTAGGTAGTGAAATTCTAGAATTCATTACCCAGGGGGTTGGAATAAGTATAAATGGTTTGAAGAATGGTTTAGTACCTATAATCGATATATTCCTCTTATAGATAACTGTAATGGCAACATATTCCTAGGGAAAGTGGATTTTTGAACTAGGTAGGAAAGAAGAGTGTGCTGGAAAGAGGGAGAATCTGCATGAGAAATGGAGGCACATCTGAGTGGTGTATGAAGTCACTCGCCTAGTTGGGTGGCATGTAACCAACTTAATTAACTTGAAGACAATTTGGGATTGCAGCGCTTTCTCTATTCGACAGACCCTCCTGGGAAGATATGATGAGTCTTCATAAATAGCATCTGGGTAGGAAACACTTTAGAGATCCTTATCCCAGCTCTTAACCAACCCACATCATGTATCCTCTGTGCATATTGGAAATGGTTGTTTCTCTAGGGAAACTAAAGGCACTTCTGGGGTTACCTAGGAATTTAAATGCTCTTTCGAATGAAGTTTGACTTTTGTTCTAAGATCTCATGAAAACAGTGCTGCCCCTAGCTGTACCTTGTACATTCGGGATGAACTCCAACCTACAAAACAATGTATGAACGGACCCAAGGTATTTATTTAAATGATACAATCCTTGGTAACTATGATTATGAATATCTTGGCTTCCCTTCATGTTAATATCTACAGATGAGACCATTTAAATCCCAATCCCTGAATAGGAGCTAACCATTTATTTCTAGAAAATGTGAAACTATCCTCATTTCTTTTGCATTCTGTACATGGGTAAGATATTCAAAAGAAAAGAATGGGAGCATTTGCCTTAAGAGTGTAATGGAGGAAAAAAAAAGAGTGTAATGGAAAAAACAAAATTCAATGACTGGCTACTTCCCTGAAGACTAGGATGATGTATTGGTGGCTTATACAAATACCAGATTCCTTACTGGCTCTCTTTTTTTTCCTGTAACTTCATCTTTTCAAAACAAAGGAATCAGATCCCAGCTCCCTTAAGAAACCATATAATCATTTTTCTGTTTTGGATAAATTAATATTAGCAGAGATAATTTAGTAGGATGCCTGAAAAAGCTATTTTCAATTTTACCATCATCAAAGCTAAAGTCAAGTGTTAAGACTTTTTTTTTTTTTTGGTCAATTATCTTCTCTATCTCACCACTTCCCAGGGGTGAAGGACCTGTCAAGTACAGAAAGATCATTTCCTGGTTCTTCCTGATTGTGAGGTTTATAAATACTCCTACATTCCTAGTACAGTACATTACACTGTACTTGACATTGATTGAGTACTGCGTTAAATCTTGGCTTAGAGGTGAAAGAATTGGAGTGGGCCCAGAGAAAGATAGTGACCATAATTAAAGGTCTGGAAAATGGGATGGAGGACAAAAACTATATACATTGAGGAAATCTGAAGGCTCTTGGATGCCTTCTTTATTTTCTAATATTTTAATTTTCTAATTTCTTGTCAGCATTGAGGAAGCTCAACTATATCAGAAAATGTTTATCATCAATCAAGGGGTCATCAAAATTTGAGTGTATGCAAGTCACAGTGATTTCTGAACCCAATTCAAAAATAATGGAAAGACCATAGAGATCCTTTCAAACAAGGACACATCACTCGCGCCACTTCTTCCCATAATTCATTCAGCAAACATTCCTTGAATGCCTACCATATGTGACAGGCAGTGTTATAGGTATGGACAGAAATATTTGTCCTCTCCGAACTTACATTCCAATGAGGAAGGAGAGACAGTGAACAATAATAAGACAGCAAACATAATCAAAGGATAACTCATAGAATATTTCAGAAGGTGATAGAGAAATGGAGCAGGCGAAGGGGACCAGGAATGGGAAGATTAGAAATTTAAAGGGGGTGTCCAGGATAGGCATCTTTGAGCAAATGAGAGCCAGCAAAATTGTTGCCGGAAAAAGTAGAATCCTGACAGGGCTGAGGGCATTTACCTTACAACGCTGTGTCAATCAGTCAGGGGGCACTGGAAGAGTTGGTGCAGCGTTTAGAAAAATGGATGAATTCCGTCTTGGCTGTAAGTTTGAAGTGTCGCAGGACTGAAATAAGTAATTAGCAGGTCTGGAGCCAAAGAGAAATATCTGAGATCGAGATGTCGCTTTGGAATCACTTATCCACAGTGGCTGAAGCGGTGGGAATGAAGAAGTGAGCTCGCCAAAAGAGAGCAGAGTGGAAAGAAGGGGAGAGCCTCACTAATGAATGTGTGCATTTTAGGAGATGGAGACAAAAATCGAGAAAGGGGGGTACACTTTTTTTTTTCCTGATCAGAGATAGACGAGACGAGCCGGCATTGTGCGCGTCCTTTTATTCCTCCCCTTTCATTTCTCCCTAATGTAAACTGGCTCTCTTCATGACAAAACCCTCCCGCGCGGCACCACACCCCCTTGGGGCGCGAGTCTCTCTTCAAGACCTTTTGAAGGTAAGGAGAAGAGAACTAACTTTTACGGAGCATCCCACGCGTGCCACGTGTTTGGGGTTCCAAATCCCGGGTTGCTCTCCTCTCCATCCCACCCACCTCTTCGCTTTCACACTCTTGCCTCCTTCAGCAGTGTCGGCTCCCAGAGGGCTGGAGCACTGGACAGGCCGGCAGAAAACAAAGAGCCCAGCTGGAAGGAAAAGCAAAGCAAAGCAAACAAAACCCCCTGCTAGGGGTAGAGACCTGGCGCCGCGGCCTTGAACCTCCGCCTCCAGCCCTCCCGGCGCCCTGCCCCTAGGCCTCGCCCCTCGGCCCCGCCCGAACCTCTCCGCAGGCCCTGCCCCTTGCCCCGCGGCCCACGCTCATTTGCTGGCGCCCTTCCGCTCCGCTTCCTCATTGATCCGCGTTCACCTCCTTCAGTGCGCTCTCCGCTTAGCTCCGCCCCTCGCGAAGAGGCCGCGCGGCGCAGGCTCGGCTCTTGGTCACTCGCGGACCTCATTCCGCGTAGCTTTCCCCTTCTTCCCGGCATTCCTGCTTCCGCTTTCTCACAGCTCTTTGCTTTTTCCACCTCTGAGGCGCTTCGCGCCCAGAGGTTCGGTGACGTCATCTCTCTGCGCTGCGCGGACACCCGCCAGTGGAAGAAGGAACAGCTCCGCCGCCCTTCGCCTCTTTTGTTGGGCTGCTGCTCCTCCGGAATCATGGCGCCGTCACTGTGGAAGGGGCTGGTGGGCGTCGGCCTCTTTGCCCTAGCCCACGCGGCCTTTTCCGCTGCGCAGCGTAAGTGCCGGTGGGAACCGCGGCCGCTCTTGTGCGGGACTCCGGGGACGGTGTGTGGGCGCACCCTGAGGGAGTGTAGGACTGAATTGTCCCAGGAATGATCATTTGAGCCCTTAGAGTTGGGGGTGACTCCGAGAAGCGGCGCGGGGCTTCCCGGTGGAAGGCTCCGAGTCTGAGTTTGAGATGGGCATCTGAGACTGCGGCAGAGGCGGAAGGGGAAGGGGAAGGGGGTGTCTGGGAGAGAGCTCCGAGCGGGCTGAAGGGTGGGCAACGAGGGAGTCTGTCGGGCCGCAGGGTGGCCAGAGAGGGAGTCTGTCTGGGAATCCGCGACAGGTGATGTCAGATCCAACGTGGGGCTGAGCAGGCAAAGTGTCAGATTGAGGACCTCGGATGCTCGTGGTCCGATGACAGCTAGGTGGACAGTATTTGGGCACTTCTGGGCTGTCCAGGCTAAGACTGAGAAGTTAAATGACCGTTTGCCTCATGGGAGCACTGTGGTACAGAAGAAAGAGCACTGGACTGGGAGTCTGGAGGGCTGGTTCTGAAAAACTTGTTTTACCGCTAAATCTGTGTGACCTTGGGCAAGTCATGTCCCTTCTCTGAGCCTTCATTGAGGTGGATTTTAATTCTTGCCTTTTCTGTGTCACAGAGTGATTGAGAAGTTTAAAAGAAAAAAAAGTAAAAGTACTTTAACATACGAGTACAATTGTATCATCAAGAAGAAACTTGGAGTCCAGCAGAGGAGGTAGTGCAGTCTTGAGACAGCTGATCTCTTTTGAGGTCTTCCTTCTCTACTAGAACAGGGGTCAGCAAACTCTGGTGGGTGGGCCAAATGCAGTCTCTCTCCTGTTTTTGAAGTGAGCTAAGAAAGTTTTCACATTTTTAATTTGTCGGGGGAAAAAGCAAAAGAAAATCATTTTATGATCCATGACAATTCTATAAAATCCAAGTTTCAATGTCCGTCAATGAAGTTTTCTTGGCAGACAGCCACACCCATTCATTTAGGTATTGTCTGGCTGCTTTCAAAGTGGGGAGTTGAGTAATCGACACAGAGACACTATGGCCTCCATGGCTCAAAATATTTATCTGACTCTTTACAGGAAAAGTTTGCTAACCTCTGTCCTAGCCTATAGAGCCCACGAGGGCAGCCCATTTTGTTCATTACTGCGATCTTTGTGCTTAGCACAATGTTCCCCACAGTGGGTACTCAATAAATTGGTTGAATGAAGGAAGTGAATTCAAAGTTGAACTTTATTCATTTGCTAGATTACTTTCCAAGTGTAGGAATAAAATAGAAAATGAAATGTGAATTCCTTCAAAGCTCTAATTTTCTTTCAAGATAAAACCATTTGTTTTATTATATACAAGTAAAATGATCCAGTTACTTTATGTTTTACATACGTGTATTGACATTTGTCTGACAGAAACTTAGCTTTATTTTTTAAATGTTTTTATTTTGAAATTTTAGATTTACAGAAAAGTTGCAAAGATGGTACAGAGTTACTGTATACCCCCACCCAGTTTCCCCGCACTGGTAACATCTTATATTACCATGGTATATTGTCACAACTAAGAAACCGACACTGGTATGATACTATTAACTAAAGTCTAGCTTTTATTTGGGTTTTACCAGTTTTTCCAATAAGGTCTTCTATTCAGGAATCAATGCAGGGTGTCACATTACATTTGGTTGTCATGTTTCCCCAGTCTTTTCTATCCTGTGATGGTTTCTTCAAAGCTCCAGTCTTTAATAACAATAGTAATAGCTGACCTTTATTAAGTGCTTGCTACGTGTCACCGAATTAAGCGCTTTACATGTAATATCTAACTCAGTCCTACCAAAAGCACTGTGAGGTAGCTATTGTCATCGCTTTTGAAAGATGAAGTCAAGACACACATAGCTGGGAAACTTGCACACTTACGGAGATGATGGTGGGGCCAGGATTCAAAGACAAGCAGTTTGACTCTAGAGCCTATGTGCTACACTGCTTTATGAAATTCCGTTTCGTGTAAGTGGCTGAAATTGTGCTTGTGCTTAGGTGCTAGAGGTACAGTGATGCCCCAAGGGAGTTCAAAGTCAAGTGGAGAAACAAGTAAAATCAATAAATAATCACAACAAAGCGATAGAAATGCTACACTAAGCATGTAAGGATGCTTGGAGACAGGCCCCAGGGTGGGAGGTGGGGGGCAAGGGGGTTAAGGAAAGTATCTTAGAGCCTTTCTGCTTGCAGTTCAATGGACCAGCTTTGGGAGAATCACCTGGGAGCTTGTTAGACAAGCAGAAAGTCAGACTCCACCCTAGAGTTTTTTGAATCCTAATCTGCAGTTTAATAAGATCCCCAGGTGATTTGTCTGCACAGTCATTTGAAAAGCACTACCCTAGAGGAGATTAGGATAGTATGGAGTACTGCATCATTTTCCACAGTTGACTTCAGCTGTAAAAATTTACAGTACTTTACTCATTGAAGTCCAACCGCTTCATTTCCAGATGAGGAAATGCCTGGTTAGAGGTAGTGTTAGAGTCAGATTAGGTTGTGTGCAAAGAAGAAGGCTGTCTAGGAACTGAACAAACAGTAGGAAGTTAGCCAAACCTATTTTTGGTATTGGATTGATGTTTCTTTTACACTGGTCCTTATGTTAAACTTGTGAGATAAAACTTCAGAAATGTCTCTAAACACATTCTCTTTTAAAAGTCACCACGTGTTCACTCACAGCAGTTTGGGTTTTTTTTTTAGTCCACAGCACATTGTTAAATAGGGATTGTGCAAGGTTTTTTGAGAATTAGGATTTTGTGTTTCTGTTTAGATGCGGATGCCTTGGGGCATTTGTCACTGCCGTGGGACCTCTTTATAATGCTTATGTTGGGAAAAGATTGATATTTACCTTTGAAGCTAGTTGTGTCATGTCTGAACTGTAGCAGTAGATAGCATACTGTTGTACTATGGCATGCTCTTCTTTGCTGTAATGAACTTTATTATGGCAGAATGGCTACCATGTGTCTAATTTAATCTTCACATTATCCCCATTTTACTGTTGCAGAAGCTTAGGAGAAAGATACTGTATTTCTTTGATTCTAAGACACACTTCCCCTCCCACTCCTACATTTTAACACTCTGCAATTGAGATACATGTTACAATGCATGAGGATGTCGTATGGTTCAGTGAGATAAAGTCAGTGCCAGTAAGTTGAGGAGCTGGTTTTATGATCCAGGTTTATCAGCTTCCAAATCCTCATCCTTTTATACCTTGCTGCTTCCCGAGGCTAAGGCAGCAGCAGAATTATAATTTAATCGGAGAGGCAGAAATTGATGTCCTGGAATTTCTCCTATTTGACCACTGCCCCAGTTTATTCTCTCAGGAAGAAACATCCATACCAATCTTACTTTGTCCATATTGTGTGATGGTGGTGCTATTTCAGAGTTGAGATTTTCTGTCGGCTTATTCATTTTTACATAATTGTGATTTCTTTGACCACTTAGTGAAAGAAACTTATTTTTAGAGGATTCTAGTTTTCCCATAGTACCGAAAGGAAAAAAAAATGTTTAGGTATTTCTTCCTCGTACTTGTTCACCTTTGACTTTTACTACGTTTTATAAGGTGACAAAGCAGGTCATGATAAAAGTAAAATAGTTCAAGATCAGGCTGACTGCCTTAGAAGATAGAGGTTTTTGAGGAATCCGGGATTAGCATTACTTTATGTAGCATATAAGTCAGCTGCTTCTTTGATATATTGATTTGCTTGCATTTTAAGAAAGAAAAATGGGCTACAATTTCCTTAATGGTATGCTTCTGGTTTATAGATCGTTCTTATATGCGATTAACAGAAAAGGAAGATGAATCACTGCCAATAGATGTAAGTTGGTCATTTATATTCCGTTAAAATATATTTTAAAAATTAGCCACATAGCTTATTATTTTTTTTACTGGTTCTTGTTCTCTTAAAATTTTCCAGACATGAAGTAATATCTGTTCACTACTTTACTCTTTGTCACTCATTGTAAAACCCAAAGATTTGGAAACAAAAGATTTTTTTTTTTTTGGTTTCTAAAAAATATTTCTGTTTGGTTTCTAAAACTTTAGTTTTAAGTAGTCATTCTAGAAGTTGCTCTGTTCATAGTCTGAGTTGATTACTTGACTTTTTCCTAGCAAAGTTCCTTTTTATGTAAAGTCTAAGAACAAGCAAAACTAAACATTGTTGGGGGACATATATGTCGGTGGCAAAACTAAAAAAAAAAACAAGGAAGTGTTTTTTTTTTTTAAACTGAAATGATATGTGATCTTCACTCACTATTTTTCATCTTTAATGGATTTTAAATGACAAAATAGTTATTTCTCTGCAATAGAAGCAAACAGTAAGTGTAAAAAGAAAAACTGACCCCATACAGTAAAAAAAGAAGTGACCTCACTGCTCAGCAGTTCTGCTGCTACTCCTACCAGCTTGGAGTAGTATGTCAGTAGTTCAGCTTTCCTCCTGTGAATGAATAAACAGCACTATACTTACTTACATTATGTATAGTTTTACCTAATGAAAACAGCTTTTCTTTTGAAAAGTTATTATCTATGTGTATACATGTACAATTTTATAATTTGCATTTTATTACTTAACAATTTATCTTGACGTAACTTCACAATTTACCACATTCTTGTTAATGGTGCTTTTGATTGCATTGTATGAAATAGGTCTTGGTATGCTGGTGGCGGGAATGTGTAAACTGGTATAACATGTAATATTAGTTTTAATTTAGAAAGTTAGAGTAAGAGCTTGTGGCTAATTTTGACTTTAGTTTGTAATGAAAGTTATGATGGATGAGACTATTAAGCCACTCTCCTGTATCACCTTTGCTTTGTAATAGATTACGTCCCCTACCACCACCCATATACTCATTTATATGTTTAAAATAGCTGCTTCTGTTTACAAATTGGGAGATTTGAAAAATACGGAAAAATCACAATCAAGAAAATCAACTGTGCCTATAATCCCAGTTTGTTTAACATCAAACATTGCAAGTCTTTGCTTGCACAACCTCTTTGGAAAACGTTTCAGTATTACCTAATGAAGTTGAAAGTGTGTATACTCTCCCCAAGTGATTCTACTCCCATTTGCCAGGAGACCTACTCCAGGATATCCATATTGGCATTGTAAAAGTAACACACAGGAAACAGCCCACATAGCCATCAGCAGTGGAATGAATAAATTGTGGTATTTTCATATAATGAAATATAAAACACAATGAAAATGAATGGACTACAAGGAAATACTACAACAGGGATGAATCTTACAAAAAAGTTCAAAAGTGGGAAAAAGTAAGCAATATACATTTTAGAGGTACATACATAGCTGGTAAAATTATAAAGAAAAGCCTTTAAAGCATTTATATATAGTTCAGTACAGTAGTTGACTTTGGGGGAGGGTATGTGGGACTTGGAAAGGTACTGGTAGTTTTATTTCTTAAGCTGGCTGGTGGGTCCAGGGATGTTCTTTTTATGCTCAGTGATATTTAACAATAATATATTAACAAATTCTTAGTTGCTCTTGCAAACAGGTAATAGTTGGTAACTGAGTTCTGAATGGCTCAGTACCTGTTTGCTATTTGGGCAAAACCTACAAGTATTTTTGCAGCTGATCCACAGAGTTTATAGAAGATTTTATTGTGTCTGAGTTCAAATTATTTAAAGTGAGAATTGACTCCTTGATAGGATCTGGGAGAAATACCTGTCAGAGGCTAAAATGAGATGGAGGGAAAATTGTAAATTTTTATGATAATATTTGTATGTTATTTGATAATCTCAATCTTTATACTCACAGATAGTTCTTCAGACACTTCTGGCCTTTGCAGTTACCTGTTATGGTATAGTTCATATTGCAGGAGAGTTTAAAGACATGGATGCCACTTCAGAACTAAAAAATAAGTAAGTCTTTCTCTTTTCATAGGCATTTTGTTTCATAGGGGTTTTGCTTCACTAATGTAATTTAAAATGTCTGTTTTTGGTACATAAAAATTGATTTTGTTTTTACATTCGATGATGCAGTTTGTGTAAATAATGAGGTCAAAATATTGAGGCAGTGTTTGATATGATAGAAAAATGGAAGTTGAATGACAGATTATTGACCTTAGATGTCATATTATATTTGCTTAAAATTATTTATCGGCCAGATGGTTGGAAGGGAATAGACAAATAGGAAGATAGTCCCTCAGAAATGTTTTCCTTTCATCCTTTCTTTTTTCCTTCCCTCCCCTTCCACCCTCCCTTCCTTTTTTTCCCCTCTTTTTATCCACATGTCCCAGCTTAGTCTTTGGAAGAATAGGGGGTTTTGGTTGTTTTCCTCAATCACTTGAACCTAGACTGTGACATAAACTGCTCGCTGGCCCTTTCTGTTTCGTGGATTACAGTGTACTTGTCCTGCTTTCTGTTTTCTCCTGTACTTCTTCTAAGCTATTTTTTTGAACTTGGCTTGCTTTTCTTTTCCATATTTCCTACTTTCATAAAATTATCCTTTAGCTCTGTTCAAATCCATCCCTGGACTTTACCTACCTTCTTGAGCCTGGAAATTTTAACCCTTTACAATGTGTTCTTAGAAGGGTTCACAATAAACATTTATTTGTTAGAGGAAACTCACCCCCTCGCTATTTTTACTTTTTAATTTACATTTTAAATAGTCACATGTCAGACTTCCTGTTTTATGTGGGAGTATACTTGGAATTTTAGGTGGGTTGACTTTAAGATTTGAGTTTTTTAACAAGGCAGAATTCTGCTCTTTTTTTTCCAGGAAAATTATGTTAAACAAACGAATACTAAAAGCCATACACTTAGGTGTTTGTGAACTTTATTTGACTATGTATATCTCACTAGGAAAGAAGAAAGGATACTCTACTATCACCACCCACTGTAGTTCTTACAAAGAGTCTACCAAGAATCACAGGCAAAGGGCCAGGAAAGAAAGAAGTAAAACAGAATGGCATTAAGTAGGTGGTAGCAAAATATATAAATTTAGTAGGTGGTAGCAAAATATATGAGTTTGGACAACAGTAGGTACTGAAGGGCCAAAAGGAGTTTTTTGTTGTACTTGAAAGATTCTTGGAAACAGATCTGTGAAATGATCATATTGCTTGAATAGTGAGGGCCAAATGCGAATAATCAAAGGTACAATCTATGTACTGAGAGCTTTATGTTGCTTTCCAGGTTTCTTATTTACCTTGTACAGGAAAAAAAAAACGAGACACAGTATGCTTACCACCTATAGTCTGATTTCATGGATTTAAACTTGGTTAAGACTATAATCTATAACAAATTCATAATTCATTAGAAGCCTGCTTGTTTTCAAATAGGCTTTTGTACAGGTTTATCTGAAGTGGATGCTTTGTTGTTGTTTTTTTTTCTTTTAAGGACATTTGACACATTAAGGAATCATCCATCATTTTATGTATTTAATCATCGTGGTCGAGTACTGTTCCGGCCTTCGGATACAACAAGCTCTTCAAATCAAGATGCATTGTCCTCCAACACATCTTTGAAGTTACGAAAACTTGAATCACTGCGTCGTTAAGATTTTTACAAATTATGATAACAGGACAGGACACAGAGCTGGAATATTGGAGTTTGGGGTATAAAACACTCCCCCCCATCATCAGTATTTATATTATATTGATCTTTCAGACCTAACTAAAAAAAGTCTATGGCCCTTGTTTGTACACTGTTAATCAGATCATTCATGGAGTATAAGTTATCTGTGAAATGAGTCTTTGATCTTTCATAGAGAGAATTCTTTCTTTCCATTTAAAACAAATTCATATCTTTTGTAAAGTTACTGTTTTGAACACATTTGAAAAATGTTGATGATTTTGTAATTATTTATTTTCTTAGATTTCTTTTGCACTTGAGTTCTTAGGATCCTTTTGGAAATAATGTGACTACTGCATTTTGCAGCATGAATGAAAGTTAAAACGTCTTTGGTTCTTAATGACAAATTAACTTCTCTAAAGAGACCAAAATGGTGGCTTATCAGTTTTTCTTATGCCCCCTAAAAAATGGCTCTGCTTCAGCAGATGCTTGCCAGTTTCTAATTTCTCATGACTTCTTGCCCCACCCCACTCCCATATACCTTCTAACATCGACTGTCTTGTTTCATCACTTCTCTGGGGTTCTGTGTGCAGTGAGCAACTCTTGTGTCAGAAATTCTTTGTCATAAATATATTTAACAAATTCAACTTGCTGTAAAGCTACTGTGTTCTCTTCATTTCTCTGTCAAAGATTTCCCCAATTGATTATGTAGTTAAAGAATAGTTGAAGATAGACCAAAAAGACCATTCATGATTTCATTAATTATCCTGCCTGTGTAGAAGAATAGTAAGCACTGAAGAAAACTGACTACTTGTCATTAGCCAGTTTAACTTATTCAGAGTCTCTGTTATTTTATTGCATACTAAACTAGTGAATTAGTAAAACTCAAGGAAACTTCTCATCAAAGATAGGCTTCAAAGGCATTGGAACAAATATATTTTAAATATTTGGAACTAGTATCTTCAATTAAAAACAAGATCATTTAAGAAACTTTTTCAGCTTTGGATTTGTTAGCAGGCTGAGAGCTTTTCCATCTTTGTTGGATGCTGCTGAAGGTGAGGATGAGGGGACAGAGTAGACTTTTTCTAGAAACAGTAATTTTGGGTTTAGGGAAATTTGGCTAGCTCTTTGATCTGCAGGGAGCTTAGCATTTCTTTGTAGAGCAGATTGCTTTTGTTGAACTGTGCAGGCAAGGAAACATTGCTTTTGTTGAGTCATATAGGTGCAAAGGGAATAACTATGCAGACTTGAAAAGCAATATGCTTTTGGCAAGAGTCATAAGATGTCCTTCTGCTTGATGGCTTTTTTCCTCTTAGAAATGAACCTCAGCTCTTCTGTTTTGCCTGGTAACAAACAGTCCTAAAGCATGAGACTCTTTGGTCATTGAGTTTTTACTGTTGTTTAGTTTTGTTTTGCCAACCCAGTCTGTCTGTGGAACACTGACTCTGATCTCTAAGGAGAACAATGTTAGAAATCTGATAGCCTGAGATAATGTAGAAAAGCGTGAAAAATGGAATCAGGGGTTAATGTGGTGATAATTAAATCAAAATATTGTATGAGAAGCTCCTTCTATCAGGCTTGTCTACCATTTCTTCAGGTATGACTTGATTTGCAAGAGCCTCTTCTCTTTGAGGGCTGCCTTCCTTTTTTATTATTCGCATACTTTCAGTGCAGCCATTTAAAGGGTACAGTTCCGTGGTTTTGTAATATAGTCGCAAAGTTGTACAGCCACTACCATAATGAATTTTAGAACATTTCTATCACCCCCATGAGAAATGCTGTACCTTTTAGTGGGCGCCTCTCATATCCCTCCACCTCCCAGCCCCAGGCAGCCGCTAATCTACTATCTGCCTCTATAGATTTGCCTATTGTGGTCATCTAATAGGAATGGATTCGCACAATGTCTGGTCTTTAGTGACTGGCTTCCCAAGTAGAGTTTTGTTCTATGTGGAGTAAGAACTTCTCCCTTTGAGAACTGTGATCAGTTTCTTAGTCAATCTTAGGCCAAATAGTTTTTCCTCATAACCAAGCACTCATGATATACTACTATTTATAATATTTTGGCTAGTCTCTAGAATGGATACTGAATCTTTGCCCAGTCAGGAAAGTCCTGATGCCCGATAATTTGGCAGATAATTGACATTGTTTTCAGGTGTGTCTGACTTTGCTAGCAGCTTGTATACCTCGGGCCAGGTGAGCTTTCCAAATTTCTTCTTTATAATTTCCTCCAATGGATTCTGTTTTCTTTTTCAAGTATGTATCATAGGACTAAAGGTGATTTGGGTGCATCGTAACAGTGCTAAATGGATTAAATTCAGAATTTTATTTATAATATTTTGAGACAGTTATGACTACCTAGTGTAGTCCAAAAAAAATGTAGTGGTGTGAGCTAGTTAAGCCTCCAGTTGACTGTGATTTTAGTGACGTTCAGAAGTGTTTGCTATTGAAGGCTCTCTAGAACATAGGAAGAGACTTTTTAATAACTAGGGAACCAGCCAATGCTATGGGCTAATGGCCCAGCCACAGAAAATGCAGATCGGTGGACTGGAGACCATGATGCTCTGTAATTCCCTAATGATTGTTTCCTAAGCACTGTGGCTTATTTTTGAGTGGCATGACAGCATCCTCCTGGTTGTATGTGGCCTGTTTCCATGATGTATTGAGTAGTGTTGTTTGTTGTGAACATCGATGCCTGTAACACCAAGCTAAACACCTTCTTTTGGATATGTTTCCTCTCTTTAAATGGCCTTGCCCTGTCCAATAAATAAATGATTGTCTCACCCTGTTTTTGGTAGTGGTTTTTGTTTTTGTTTTTGTTTTTAAAATCCCATTCTCTTCTGCTTCTCTGTCCCCAGAAAAATGTAAGAGCTAATCTTATGACTGTATTTTTTTCTCCCAGTGTGATGCTGTTCTACTAAATTCAATAGATACTTTTTATTGTACATGTAAAGTCAAATTGCAATTTTATGGTTTTTTTAGTGTCAAAATAGAATGTGTAATCTCATTTATATTTATCAAAGGACCTTTGGGGTAGAAGAATTTTAGTCCTTGAATATCAGCATCCAATCATTCCATCACAAATTTGTTATAAGTTTAGATTTAACAGAAAATCATTATGATTCAAAAGTATCACGGGGCAAATCCAGAGTCTGATGAAAACCCAAGGGGAGGTTCTGGTTTGTCAAACTTGGCATGTATCTTGAGTAGTTTGACAAATAGCACTAGCAATATTCAGATCTACCTAGGAGTATCTCAAAGTAACCTACAAATCAAGTATTGTCTAAAAAAGGGAAAAATCAAGATGATATATGCACATGGCAAAAACAAAAAAATCAGATGGTACAGAAAGGCATGTCATTAAAACTTGCCTTCTTCCCTTCTGTGCCTAATGCTTCTCTCCAAAGGTAACCAGCTTAGAGTGCCCTGTATATTCTTTGGGGGGAAAATTATTTGCCAGTGAATATATATTTAAGAAATTTTACGTTAATGGAGTCAAACTGTATATACTCTTCTGTACCTTGCTGTTTTTGCTGTGTCTTACAAGATCTTTCTGTATCAGGATATACAGAAATACCTCATTATTTTTAATGACTGTGGTATTCCAATGTATGAATGTGTTACAAATGTTCAAACAATGATGGGATCTCAGATTGTTTTCAATATTTTACTATTGCTAGACCATTTTACAGTGAACATACTTGTACATATAAGGAGATTATACCCGCAGAGTTAATCTTAGCAATTGAATTGCTAGTCAAAGGGTACTTTTCATTTGCACTTAAGTAGTTATTGCCAAATTGTTCTCCAGGAATCTTGGCCCAGTTATTCTCCCACGTATAATTTGTAAGAATAATTATTTCCAAGGCCCACGTTGATACTGGGCTTTGGATTAAACATTTGATCATCTGAAACTGAATAAATGATATCTTGCATCTTACTTTAGCTATATTGCATGTTAATGAAGGATATGGAACACATTTTCATGCTTATTGGTTACTTATATTTCATTTTCTGTGAATTGTGTGGTCATGTTCTGTTTTCTATTAGATGATTTGTTTTTTATTGATTTGTATGAGCTCTTTGTAAGCTAAGAAAATTGGTCCATTGTCATATGTTTAAGAATATTTTCCTGAGATTTATTTATTTATTTATTTACTTATTTATGTAGCTAAACTTATCAGTCTTTATGGCTTTGGGGATTTGTGCCTTGCTTAAAAAGGCCTTCTTTACATTTAAGAATAAATTCAATGTATTTTTCCAGTACTTTTAAGTTTTTTTTTTAACCTTTAAATCTTTGATTCATTTGGACTTTATTTAGGTAGAAGGATAAGGTAAGAATTCGACATTTTTCTCCCCAAATGGCTATCTGGTTATCCCAACTCCAACCCCACTTTTTTACTTTTTTCCCCACACTAATTTGAAATACCATCTTCATTCATACACTGAATTTCCATATAAAGTTCGATCTGTTTCTGAGCTCTGCAGTCTGTTATAAAGATTACCAGTCTTTCAATTATTTTAAGTTGCTATATGCTTTCATATTTCACATTGCTAGTCCATACCACATTATTATTATTTTCAGGATATTTTCCTAGTTATTCATGCATGTTTATATTTCCTGAGGGACTTTGGTATCATTTTGTCCATTTGTAGAATCCTACTCATATATTTCTAAAATTTTACTTTGAAAATTTTCTAACTTACACAAATCGTGAAAGAGTAATATCAGGAATGCCAATATACTTTTCATTTAGTCACCATACCTAATATTTTGCCACTTTCGCTTTTGTTGTCTCCAAATGTGCTTTTGTCCCCTCCTGGATAGTTTATGGTAAGTGTGGATTTCAAAATCACACCTCATGACACCATGACATCCCTAACTATGTCAGTGCCCCATTCCTATAAGGATGAGGACATTTCCTGTTTAACCACAATACCACTCTCACACTGAAGAAAATAGTGAACCATCCAATATTATATTCAAATTTCCCCATGTGTCCCCAGAATGACTTTCATGCCATCCTCCACCAAGGTTCACAAATTACATGGGTTAGTCTGTCTTTCCAGTCTCTTAAACAGTCCCCCTACCTCTTCTTTTAAAAATATTTTCAAAGTAAACTTTATTTTTCAGAACTGTTTCTGAGTTACAGAAAGATTGGGAAGATGGCGCAGAGTTCCCACGTGTCCCATACTCAGTTTCCCCTACTGCTAATATCTTATGTTACCATGAGACATTTGATACCAGCAAGGAACCAATATTGATACATTATTATAAACTACAGTTAATATTCAAGTTTTCACAGATTTTACTTAATGTCCTTTTTGTATTCCAGGATTCCATCCAGGATACTGCTTTACGTGTAACTGTGATATCTTCTTAGGTTTTTCTTGGCTGTGACAGTTTCTCATACTGTCCCTGTTACTGATGACAACTTTTCTTAAGATTTATTTGACACAGAGTGAGCATGAGTTGGGAGGGGCAGAGAGAGAAGCAGACTCCCCACTGAGCAGGGAGCTGGAGGTGGGGCTCCATCCCAGGACCCCAGGATCATGACCTGGGCCGAAGGCAGATGCTTAAACCACTGAGCCATCCAGACGCCCAAAGCTTGACAGCTTTGAGGAATACTGGTCAGGTATTTGGTGAAATGTTCCTCTGTTGGGATTTGTCTGATGTTTTTACCATTATTATACTGGGATTATGTGTGCTATTGTTATTACATCAAGGGTACCTATCTTTTTTAAAAGATTTTATTCTTGAGAGACTCAGAGAGAGAGAGGCAGAAACATAAGCAGAGGGAGAAGTAGGCTCCCTTCGAAGAGCCCGATGCGGGGACTCCATCCTAGAACTCCAGGATCACACTCTGAGTTGAAGGCAGATGCTCAACCACTGAGCCACACAGGCGTCCCAAGAGTACATATCTATTAACGTGACTTAACACTGTTGATCTTATTTTTGATCACCTAAGTTAGTGTTTGTCAGATTTCTCCACTGTAAAGCTGCTCTTTCCCCATTGCCATACTGTATTCTTTGGAAGGAAGTCACTTTGCATAGCCCACACTTAGGGAGTGGGGAGTTATGCTCCACCTCCTTGAGGATGAAGTATCTACATCAATTATTTGGCATTCTTCTGCACAGGAGATGTTTCTTCTTTCCCACTTATTGATTTATTCAATCATGTATTCATATGAATTTGGGCTTTTTTTAATACTCTGGGTTATCATGTAACACTACTTTATTTTGAGGTTGAAATTATTCCGGTTCTGGACACTGGTAACTTTTTCATTGGACTCCTGTGTCTCTTTGACATACTCCCATTAGAGTGGACTTCTTTGTTTTGTTTTCAGGTCTTCTTTTCTGGCACTACAAGATATTCCAGGCTCATTGTGTATATTTCCTTCCCCAGTCCTAGAATCAGCCTTTTCTCCAGGGAACCTGGTGCCTTTTATGGAAGGATAGTATTAGAAATCAGGATCTGGGCCCTGGTTGTGCCCAGTGCTGCAGGGGTTTTGTTGCTTCGAGGCCCTTTCAGCTCACAGGGCAAGGAAACGTGTGTGCGCTAACCTGTGCATATACACGCACATATATGAATATTTCTGGATGTAACCTCTGTATTTCTATTTTTTAAAAGATTTTATTTATTCATTATATATATATATATATATATATATATACACACACACACACACAGAGAGAGAGAGAGAGAGAGAGAGAGAGAGAGGCAGAGACACAGGCAGAGGGAGAAGCAGCAGGCTCCATGCCGGAGCCTGATGCGGGACTGGATCCCAGGACTTCAGGATCACGCCCTGGGCCAAAGGCAGGCACTGAACTGCTGAGCCACCCAGGGATCCCCTGTATTTCTATTAAGTGGAATGCAAGTTCATACTGATGTTCCATCCATCACCACATAAATCTTTCTAACCACCTCTCCTGCTGATTTGCAGACTTCTACTCCCACACTAAGAAACCTGGTTCCCACCATCTGCTGCCCATTTACTTGAATTGTTTAAATCCAGTATATACACTTCCAGAAACATTACCCTGTACTCCCATGGAAGACATTTCAAACTAGAGCAGCAATTATGTATCTGTTTGCCATTAGTTTTACAGACCTCACTCATTTCCAAAGTTAATTAGGTCAGCACCCCTGCCCCTTCAGTGTGTTTGTTTCACAAATTTGTAATACAGATAGCTTTGTCACATCTTAAAATCTTTTAAATGATTTTTAAAAATTTGTATACACCAGGGCTCACTTTTCATGCCCTAAAGTTAAATTGATTTTGACAAATCTACAATGTTATGTATCCACAATTGCATTATCATATAGAATAATTTCAATAGCTCTAAAAATCCCTTGTGCTTCACCTACTCAACCCTGTCCCTTTCCCTGGGGCTCCAGTTTACGACTGATCTTTTTATTGTCTCTATAGTTTTGCCTTTTCTAGAAAGTCATATGGTTGGAATCATGCAGTAGGTAACCTTTTTATTTTATTTATTTTATTTTTTTTTTTAGGTAGCCTTTTTAGACTGGCTTCTTCTACTTAGCAATATGCATTTAAGGTTCTTTCACGTCTGTTTGAGGCTTACCTAATTTTTAAAATCTCTGAATAATAGTCCATTCAATGAACATTCCACAGTTTGTTTACCTATTAAAGGACATCTCCCGTTTTCGAAGATTATGAATAAAGCTGCTTTAAACATTTGCATGCGGGTAAAACCCAAAAAACATATTTGCATGCATGTTTTTGTGTGGACATAATCATGTTAGTTTGGTAAATATTAAGGTG